GCTGTATTGGCGTCCCCTGAGCCGACTCTTCTCTCCTCACGCCTGTACCATAGTCAGCACAGAATAGCACCAGGCCTTTCCCCCTTCACTTCTCTCAAGGAGATGCCCAAGAGTCTGGATTCCATAGGTAACAAACCTCCAGACCTCAGAGTGGGTAGGTGGGTATTCCTCGGAGTTCAATGTTGCAGGTGGGGAATATATACAGTTTTATACAGTTTTACAGTTTTGTGCGTGGCCGGAGGGTGCCATAGCACGCCAGCAGGGGTAGGAGGTCTAGTTTTTAGGGGGTCTCTCCCGTGGGATAGAGTGGGAGGAAGTTTACATTCTGCTCACTTGTTTGCATGGAGTAGACTGCGAGCCCTTATTGTGGGGGAAGGGGACTCCTGTCTGCTTGGTGGTGGATTTTGTACCTTTTGATTGCATTTTTGGGGTCACAGCTCGCGTCAGGAAGGTTGAAGTGCACTCTTCAATCTTTGGCTCTGCTCCAAACCATCAGCTCCTTTGCTAAACGTCTGTCCTTTAAGCCTCCTTCTAGACGGAAGCTTCTGTAAAAAGCTGGCTGCAGTCTGCCATCTTGGCTCTGCCCCCGAAACACATTCTGGAGTTTGTACTACAGCTTGCAAATTCTTTTCTTGAAGTTGTTGAATTTTTCTATTCTTGCCTTTGCTTTCTTTCTCCAGAAGGTTGAGTTTATGAATATATTGGTTATTTAGAAATTTGAGATCAGCTATTTCACATGTATTCTTCTTCAGTGTAGTTTTCTACTCTGAAAATTTTTTCTGCTAACGGTAAACTCTCTACTTTCAGAGTGTGGTAGTATCCCAGCTAATCCAGTCTTTTTTTAATATGAGCATACTTTTTTTCTAAAGCTGTTGTCATCCTGTCTTCCATAAGTAGTTTTATTCACTTCTACAAATTAAAGTCTGGCGGCTCCTGCTCATGCTCCCTCCTGCAGCCCAATCACCGTCGGGAGGCGAGGCACCTTCCTGTAGATGGTTCTCTCTCTCCAACCATTGGCTCCAGAGGTAGAGTGGTTGAAAATGGCTGTGATGAAGGATCCTGGAGGCACACAGGAGGTGCTACCATTGCCCTGGTAATGGGAGCCCGGTCCAGGCGAGGTGCTAGGTGTGATGCAGGAGAGCCAGAAGCTAGCACCATCTATATTCTACTTTTAGAAAGATTCACTTGTGCCCTTGTAAGATAAACCATTGAGGTGATCCCACCTATCACCCTCCCTCCAGACATCCACCCACCTCCCCTTACCTCCTCCATGTTTACATGGATGGAGCTGGAAAATGTTCTTCTTAGCAAAGTATCACAAGAATGAAAAAAAGAGTATCCAATGTACACAGTCCTACTATGAAACTAATTTATAGCTTTCATATGTAAGCTATAACCTAATTGTATTCTTTTTTTTTTTGAAATAGAGTTTCACTTTGTCATCTTGGGTAGAGTGCTGTGGCATCATAGCCTACAGTAACCTCAAACTCTTGGGCTCAAGCACCTATTGCCTCAGCTGGGGATGAGTAGCTGGGAGTATAGGCGACTACCATAATGCCCAGTATTTTTAGGGATGGGGTCTCTCTCTTACTCAGGCTGGTCTCCAACTATGGAGGTCAGGCATCCACCCTCCTTGGCCTCCCAGAGTGCTAGGATGACAGGTGTGAACCACTGTGCCCGGCCTTTGTATTTTGTTGTTTTTAGACAAAATCTTGCTCTGTCACCCTGGGTAGAGTACCCTGGCATCATCATAACTCACAGCAGTGTCAAACTCCTGTGGTCAAGTGATCCTCCTGCTGTAGCTTCCCGAGTATCTAGGACTGCAGGTGTGTAGTCTGACTCTTGGCTTATTTTTAGTAGAGATGGGGGTCTCATTCTTGTGCAGGCTGATCTTAAACTCCTGAGCTCAAGGGATCCTCCTGCCTTGCCTGCCAGAGTGCTTGAATTACAGGCGTGAGTCACTGCATCTAGCCCAGTGTTTTCATTTGTAAAATGGAATGATAGTGTCTCAAAAGGTTGTTATAGGGACTGTTATATATAAATACACACATACATACACACACATATATAAACATATAGATAAAATGTATAGAACAATCCTTTGGATATAATAAGCTTTATTTTTGACATTTTAGTTTCTAATTTTTTACAATTATAAGCCATTCTGCATTGAATATCCCATTATATCTTTCCTTACACATCAGGGAATGATGTGAATAAAGTAGCCAAAAATTAAATTTCTAGGGCTCTGATATGCAGCATACACCATATAGTGTACAGCATACACCATATAACAGAGCTTTTATGACATCTTAACAAAAAAAAAATCCTTTTAGGTGTGAGTCTTTTCCCTCTATTAAGTTACCATTTTCTGGATACTCTTGTTGAGTTTCATACAAATATATTCCTATCAAGAGAAACATACCATGATAGTAATATATTCTTATCCTTTAAGAATGTTTTGTTTGAAGCCCTCTCATATTTTTGTCAATACTCTGGATTTCTTTCTTTCTTTTTTTCTTTCTTTCTTTTTTTTTTTTAAAAAACCTGATGTTTATTTTCCTCCAACTTTATTTCCATCTTAAGAGCTTGTGGAAGAACAGCTTACAACCACTCAGTGGTTGTTCCTACCCATTCTGTGGCCTGAGCAGTGGGAGCTGCAGACCAGTCTTCACTGGCAGGCTGGGCACTCCAGTCTTCAGTGGGGAACTGCTGAATAGGCAGAGGGCATTTGCACACCTTCTGACCAGTCTGCAACCTCTGGTTGCATAGCAGTAAACTCAGGAGTTGGAGCAGTCCATTCACCCTGAAATTCCTTCTTGGTCACAGTTTTCTCAGCAGCAACTTACTCTTCCTTTTCAGTCTCTTCAGGATCTCTGTAGAAATAGAGATCTGGCATGACCTCCCACGGATGTTCACGGGAGATGGTGCCATGCATGCGTAGAACTTCCCAGGCGAGCATCCTCGACATCAGACCTACTGAGTGAGCTCCCTTGTTGCATGGGATGGCAATGTCCACATAACATAGAGGAGAATCTGTGTTACACAGAGCAATGGTAGGCAGGTTAACATAAGATGCCTCTGTGAGAAGTTGGTGGTATCCTGAGATCAGTAACCACTAGAAGACAAGGTTCCCAGAAGGCTGCCTGGATCTGAGCTCATCCTTAGCGAAGGTTCCAGGAGTGAAGCAGCCAGCAATAGGAGTGGCTCCAGTGGCAGCAGCAAACTTCAGCACAGCTCGCTGGCCAGTATTCCTGGAGGATATAACACTGACATCAGCAGGGTTTTCAATGGCAACAGTGGCCCGAGCTGCCAAAAGAAGTTTTTCCCAGGTCCTCTTCAGATTTATGATGGAGGTGCCATCACTTTTCCTTTTGTAGATGTACTGTTCCATTTGGAAGTCAAGGTTGGTGCCACCTAAGTGGGTTCCTGCTGCAAGGAATTTGAGGACATTCTCCTCCTTCATCTGCAGGACATCAAGGGCTCTGGACATTGTGAAAATTTCCTTTTAAGTTACGGTGGGAATCCACAACATATGGGCTGTCCCTGAGTGGCGTGGAAAAAAGCTGGATTTATTTCTATAAATAATTTAATATTTTGCCAACCATCTTGAAGTGAAAATTAGATCTAAATGTTTTTTAACAGACATACGTGAACTTATTTTTTTATAAACATGCAAATTTGAAACTTCTATTATTCTGTCTCTCCAGCTTCCCCTTGCATAAACATAAATTATTTTTATTTTTCTTTCTCTAATTGGGTTTTAATAAAATAGGGAATTTTAATTTCAGACTGTTCCTTTTGCTTAATTATCTGTTTTGATTAATGTTTAGAAAACTCATTCAATTTTACCAATCATATTAGCCACGATTATTTAGGCTTAACTCTACATAAGATTTATTGGAAATTTCTTATGATTTTTTCTCTTTTAAATGGAAGTTGCTATTTATTTTCTGGTTTCTTAGTATTTATTATATGTTACACCTTCCTTTTCTACTTTTATTTGGCCACATTCTTGTTGAAGTTCTTTGAGTAATATTTTCAGGAAGGTTTAACTTCTGTGTCTTTGTTGTCTGAAAGTGTAGATATTTTTCCTATTTATTTATTTATTTTGAGACAGAGGCTCACTTTGTCACCTTTGGTAGAGTGCCGTGGTATCCTAGCTCATAGCAACCTCAAAGTCTTGGGCTCAAGTGATTCTCTTACCTCAGCTTCCCAAGTAGCTAGGACTACAGGCACCTGCCACAATACCTGGCTATTTTTAGAGACAGGGTCTTGCTCTTGCTCAGGCTGGTCTTGAACCCATGAGCTCAGCCAGTTCTTCTGCCTCGGCCTTCCAGAGTGCTAGGATTACAGGTGTGAGCCACTGCATCTGGCCCTGTTATTTTTCCCTTTTAAACTTGATTGACATAGATTTTCTGGATATATGATAGTAGGCTCATTGTCTTCCCTCTGAATTCTGTGTAATTGCTCCTTTGACTTCTGGCATTTAATATAGGAGATTAGAAGGCCAAATTCCTGTTTGAATGTCTTTCACTGGTTGAAAGCCTGACATTTCTATCTGGAAATCTAGAGCACTTTTATTTTAATGGTTCAGAAATTTAACCAGAATAATGTCTAGGTTTCTAACATTTTAGTTATGTCTTCCCTGACATATTAATAGATCTTTTAGATATGTTAACTCAGGGATTTCTTAGGGAAACTTTCTTGTTATCTATTTTATTACTTTTTCTAAATTAATTTTGGGGTATTGATCTTTTATGCAGGTGTGTTCATAATGTACTTATGAAATGTATCAACTGTTGCATTGTCATGTAGGAGGTGTCAGAGTAACTAAGAAAGGATGTCGGTGATTATTTAGGCCTTAAGAATAGAATTGACATGCTAAAATAAATACACAGATGCATACACAAATACAATAAAGCATTCGTTTGAGTAGCATTAGAAATGTGCATGAGAATTTCTATAAGTTTAACTTGGAACTCATTCTTCCATTTTAGGATCGGAAGTTAACCAAAGCTGAGCAACAAAGGTTCAAGGAAGAAGCAGAGATGTTGAAGGGTCTCCAGCATCCCAATATAGTTCGATTTTATGATTCATGGGAGTCTATATTAAAAGGAAAGAAATGTATTGTATTGGTGACTGAACTAATGACATCAGGAACCTTAAAAACGTAAGTTGACTCTGATTCTGCAAATGAAGTTTTATTTGGAAATAATTTTCAGGAGTCATAAAAGTTGTGTAAAAAATAGTACTTGATTAAATAATTTGTAGATTCTGAATCTACTGCCTATGTTTCAAGGTAGGTTAAAAATTGAGATGTTAATGAAATTTGTTTGAAAATACACTGTTGAGAAATTAATAATTGTGGGATATCACAGCTTTAGAATTGGAAATCATTATAGAGAGAATATGATTTTATTTTATAAAAGATAGTGAAATGTTCGAGGGCTTGGCTAAGTTCACATATCTAGTGAGCAATACTATGTAATTATAGTCTTTGTTTTGTTTCTAACCACCCTTTCTCATTTGGTAGTATAATCACTTGCAAATACTAAATGTGGGGTACACCTTTTGTTTCCTAGCTTATTAACACTAAAAGTTTATAAAGTTAAGACCTCTGGTGATTATATGTAAGCAGTTATTAGGAAGTAGAGAAGAACTTTATTTTTAAAATTGTGCTGCCATTCTAAAAAAGGCCACTTTAGAATAATTTATTTTTTTATCATTTTTTTTTGAGGCAGAGTCTCATTATGTTACTCTTGGTAGAATGCTGTGGCATCACAGCTCATAGCAACCTCAAACTCTTGGGCTTAAGTGATTCTCTTGCCTCAGCCTCCCAAGTATTTGGGACCACAGATGCCTGCACCATAATGCCTGGGTATTTTGTTGTAGTTGTCATTCTTGTTTGGCAGGCCTCTGGCCAGATTTGAACCTGCCAGCTCCAGTGTATGTGGTTGGCAACCTAGCCGCTGAGCTACAGGCACCAAGCCAGAATAATTTCTTTCTTTCTTTTTTTTTTATTACACAGTTAGAACAGAGATTTTAATAATGTAAAAAAATAGACTTCAAAACAAGGAATATTACCAGAAATAAACAAGGACATGTTATAATGATAAAAACTCAAATGTATTAGAAAGACTAAATTACAAATGCGTAGGTACCTATTAGCTTCAAACTACACGAAGCATAAAACTGACAGAAGGAGAAAAGGATTCAAATCTCTTATCATATCTGGAGATTTTTATATCCCTTTTAGTGTAATTAATACAACAACTAGGCCAAAAATCTGTACAGATATAAAAGAGCTAAATAACACTGTTAACCAGTTTGACATAATTAATATTTTTTCTTTTTTTTTATTAAATAATTGCTGTGTACATTAATGGAATCATGGGGTACAATGTGCTGGTTTTATATAAAATTGGAAATATTTTCATCAAATTGGTAGCCTTCATGGCATTTTCTTAGTTATTATGTTAAGACATTTATATTCTACACTTAGTAAATTTCACATGTACCCTTGTAAGATGCATCATAGGTGTGGTTCCACCAATTACCCTCCCTACACCCATCCTTCCCCCTTTCCCTTTCCTCATATTCTTGGGCTATAATTGGGTTATAGCTTTCATATGAAAGCTATAAATTAGTTTCATAGTAGGGCTGAGTACATTGGATACTTTTTCTTCCATTCTTGAGATACTTTGCTAAGAAAAGTATATTCCAGCTCCATCCATGTAAACATGAAGGAGATAAAGTCTCCATCTTTCTTTCTTTCTTTCTTTTTTTTTTTTGAGACGGAGCCTCAAGCTATCCCCCTGGGTAGAGTGCCATGGCATCACGCTCACAGCAACCTCCAACTCCTGGGCTCAAGCGAGTCTCCTGCCTCAGCCTCCCAAGTAGCTGGGACTACAGGCGCCCGCCACAGCGCCCAGCCATTTTTTGGTTGCAGCCATCGTTGTTTGGCGGGCCCGGGCTGGGGATTCTAACCTGCCACCTTAGGTGTATGTGGCTGGCACCTTAGCCGCTTGAGCCACAGGCGCCGAGCCAGTCTCCATCTTTCTTTAAGGCTGCATAATATTCCATGGTGTACATATACCACAACTTATTGATCCATTCGTGGGTCCATGGGGACTTGGGCTTCTTCTATAACTTAGCAATTATGAATTGGCCTGCAATAAACATTCTGGTACAAATATCTTTGTTGTAGAGTGATTTTTGGTCTTCTGCATATATACCTAGTAGAGGATTTGCAGGATCAAATGGCAGGTCTATTTTTAGTTGTCTAAGTGTTCCCCAAACATCTTTCCGAAAGGAATGTATTAGTTTGCATTCCCACCAGCAGTGAAGAAGTATTACCTTTTGTTCATATCCATGCCAACATCTCCGGTTTTGGGATTTTGTGTTGTGGGCTAATCTTACTGGAGTTAGATGATATCTCAAAGTAGTTTTGATTTGCATTTCTCTGATGATTAAGGATGATGAGCATTTTTTTCATGTCTGTAGGGCATGTGCCTGGCTTCTTCACAGAAGTTTCTCTCAAGTCCCTTGCCACACTGAGATGGGATCACTTGTTCTTTTCTTGCTAATACGTTTGAGTTCTCCCTGGATTCTGTGTATTAAACCTTTATTGGAGACATAATCTGTAAATAACCTATTCTGAGGGCTTTCTGCTTGCTTTACTTATGTGTTCTTGGCTGTGCAGAAGCACTTTAGTTTGATCAGGTCCCAGTAGTGTATTTTTGGTGTTGCTTCAATTGCCCAGGGGGTCCTCCTCATAAAATATTCTCCAAGGCCGATTTCTTCATGTGTTTTCCCTGTACTTTCTTCAAGTATTTTTATACTTTTATATCTTAAGTTTATGTTTTTAATCCAGTGAGAGTCTATCTTACTTAATGGTGAAAGGTGTGGGTCCAGTTTCAGTCTTCTACAGGTCACCAGCCAGTTCACCCACCACCATTTGTTAAATAGGGAATCTTTTGCCCACTGAATGTTTTTAATTAGTCAAAGATCAAATAATGGTAAGTAGCTAGGTTCGTCTTTTGGTTCTCTATTCTGTTCCATGTATCTACCTCTCTATTTTTGTGCCAGTACCATGCTGTTTTGATCACTATTGATTTATAGTATACTCTGAGGTTTGGTAGTGTGATTCCTCCTGCTTTGTTTTTATTTCTGAGTAGTGTCTTCACTATTTGAGGTTTTCTCTATTTCCATATAAAATGAAGTATTATTTTTTGAGATCTTTAAAGTATGACAATGGAACTTTAATAGGGATTGCATTAAAATTGTATATTGCTTTGGGCAGTATGGACATTTTAACAATGTTGATTCTTCCCAGCCATGAACATGGTATGTTTTTCCATTTGTTAACATTTTCAACTACTTTTTTTCTTAGAGTTTCACAGTTTTCTTTATAGAGAGCTTTCACATTTTTTGTTAGGTACATTCCCAAATATTTCATTTTCTTTGGCACTACTGTGAAAGGAATAGAGTCCTTCATTGTTTTTTCAGCTTGGCTATTGTTGGTATATATAAAGGCTACAGATTTATGAGTATTGATTTTGTAGCCTGAGATGCTGCTGTATTCCTTGATCACTTCTAAGAATTTTGTAATAGAATCTCTGGTGTTTTCCAGATACACAATCATATTATCTGCAAAGAGTGAAAGTTTAATCTCTTCTGACCCCGTATGGATACACTTGATCACCTTTTATTGGCTAATTGCAATGGCTAAGACTTCCATTACAATTTAAAAAGCAGTGGACATAATGGGCACCCTTGCCTGGTTTGTGGTTTGAGTGGAAATGATTTCAATTTAACTCCAGTCGAGACAATATTGGCTGTGGATTTGTTGTAGACGGCCTCTATCAGTTTAAGAAATGTCCCTTCTATACCAATTTTCTTAAGTGTTCTGATCATGAAAGGATGCTGGATATTATTATCAAAAGCTTTTTCTGCATGAATTGACAGAATCATATGGTCTTTGTTTTTTATTTTGTTTATTTAATGAATTATATTTATGGATTTACGTATATTGAGCTAGCCTTGGGACCCTGGGATAAAACCCACTTGGTCATGGTGTATAAATTGTTTGATGTGTTGCTGGATTCTGTTTACTAGGATCTTGTTGAA